CCGCACAGCCCGTTGCCTTGCGACGGCCCCGGCGCCCGCCAGTCGCTGCAGATGGCGCCAACTGCGGGCACTGCGCTCAGAGTGATAGGATACAATCCCATGTGGGCGAGCGGATTGAGAACGCAGGAGATATTACATCACACGACGAACTACGACGCGGTGCTGCTCTGTGGAACACAGACGGTGTGCCGCAAGTCCGAGGGTGTTCTGCGGAGTCGAGTTGCAGGCCGCACGATACTGGAAGCCGTTCACCAGCCTGGGCCATTGACTACTGCGGCGACGGGCTGTGCGGTGATCCTGAGAACGGGCTACAATGATCGACACATACGACAGACGTGGTCTCCCCCTCGGCAGCTGGCGGGCAGGGGCTTGGCTGTGCGCGTCCAGAAGGGTGCGATCGACGTAACCTACGGCGCATTGTATTACCCGCCTCAGTCAGCCACGCTCGCACCTGGAGAATGGAGTTTATCACGAGACCGTGAAGGCACTCACACGCTGGTGGCGATCAGTGTTGTTGGCTCTTCCGTGTCGCACCTTGCCGCTGTTCTATTCTGACGTGAACGACGGCATCGGAGCTCAGGTGAAGGCTGGAGTCTGGACCGAGCCCCTGTGCGAGGCGCTCGGACCCACCCGCTCTCGAGAACGACGACGTAACGGTGCGGGGGAATCTGTGCGACATCTATTGGTTGAGCAAAAGATGATTTCGGCGACCTCCTACAGCCCCTTCGCGCACACGTACTGGTCCTCTGGCAACCCGTCCACGGGCAGTATGATTGACTATTGGTTTCTTCCTAGGGGGTGGCTTGAGCGCCTTCGGCGCAGTCACATTGTGCGCGACTTGGGTGACACGCTACAGCCGATCAGAGGCATCCCTCCTCGAGATCACATCCCCGTCCTGCTCGAACTCTGCTACGAGAAGGACGTCGGGGCCCTGCCACCCGCGCCGCCGACGCGACTGAGCGGAGATGCGATGATGGCGGCCATCTTGAGAGGCGAGAAGAAGTCAGAGTTTTTACGAGAAGTCACACAACAGTTGAGGGAAAATGAAGAGCATCTGCGATCCTTGGCTGACCAGAATTCGCCTGACGCCCTTTGGGAGAAGTTGGAGACCATCATGACGACGGCGGGCACCAACCATTTCAAGTAGCCACCCCGCGCACCTCGACCTGCAGATAGTGCGGAGCGCCGAAGGCAACTGGATGCACGCGCTGCACTTCGACGATCACGAGCAGATGTCGGCGGCTGTTCTTCGTCTCTTACCTGTGCGACTACGGGGCCTTCGGCTGTTTCGCTGGAACTGGGGCCCAACATCAGATGCAGGCCAAATGCCATCCGCGATCAGAACGCACCCCCCAATGGCGATCAGAACGATGAGCCTCGAGAGACCAGGGCGGCGATGGGAAAGGGGACTTCGACGTCCCTTGGCGTGCCGCGCTCGCCTCGACTGCCCGCGTCTGGGGCCGCCTTCGGGGGCGCCTTGGGACCACAAAACTCAGTTCCAGGACGCACCCACGAGAGTGACCGACTGAGCCAGATAGAGCAGCAATTGAAAGATCTTTCTCGCCAGCTTCAGCGACAACGCAAGCGATCAGTGCTGCTGTCCAAAGAGCTTCTGGTGGAACAAGTACGCGAAGCATGGCGAGGTCGACGCATGCATGAAGCTGCCCGCCTCTCTCGCCAAGCTGCTCGATGTCGGTTCGGCGCCCAACACAGAGATGGACGGAGACTGGGCATCACTACGCTTAGTAAGAAGGCCTGGCTTGACGTCTGGCAGCTGGAAGGTGGCTCAGGAGGCATGCTGGCTACGGAAGTTGACTGGAGTGAGTGGCGACAACAACGTGATTTGTGCCCTGTTTCACAGGTGCAGGCTTGGGAGGTCAGTGAGCGAACCTATCGAGCGGCAGAAGATTACGCTGGCCTCATCCCTTACTTTCGGAAGACTACTAAGCGACGAGCGGTACCTGTGGGAACTACACCCGCGGAGCTATGGGATTTGTGCTTCTCAGCTGACAAGGCTACCAAAGGGGAGCACCTCGGACTGGGCTGCGAGACGGGGGAGGTCAACATGGACGCCTTTAAGGAGATGGTATTGCTTGGGCTTGCTACGATACGACGCGCTGATCTCGCCCCATTGTACTGGTCCCGCAGCCTGGTCCACGGACTCTCGAAGGGCAATGCGAAGTCTGGAGCCCTGGGCAAGCGAGTTATCCACACGCTTCCTGCTGTCAGCAAGGGTTGCTTTGCCAGACGTCTAAATGTTCGGGTGCCACTACAGGCCTACGGTTTCGCCAAGCATAAACGACGCGAAGGAGCAATTTTAGTTACTCAGTGCCTTTCGTGGAGATTGAGACAGTCGCAGGTGAGCTTCGCCAATACGATGAAAGATTTATCCAATGCAGTTGGCAGCGTATCTTGGGCAACTTTCGACTCGACGGTGGAGGACTGTGCTAAGCCAGAAGATTGGAACCTCTGCAAGCGACACTATCGCGATGGGGTTATCGAAACGCAGGGAGACGAGGGGACCTTCTACATGAAGCCACAAGTTGGCGGCTTGATGGGGGACCCGTTCATTGTCAGTGCATTCCTGGGCTCTTTTACGAGGCCCGCGACGTACTGGTCGGCGGCGATGAAGTCTAAATCGGGAACGCACCTACTTTGTGGAGCTCTACCTGACGACGATGAAGTTGACCTCTCGCATTGCTCGTACGCCGACGATCTTCACAGAACATTACTCTTCAAGGTCGGCAGCACTATGCATGAGGTCAGTGCTGAGCTCAAGAAAGCCGATGACATCCTGGACGCAGCTTTGGCGTTGGACGGCATGAAGCAGAACAGAGACAAGCGGGTCACCAGTTTCTTCTCTGGGGTCGAGGCCTCGGCTTGCAAGCAGTGGATGGGTAAACCAGGCCGTGTGGCTGGTACGGTCGTGGACGTTGCTCGTTATCTCGGACCAGTGGTATCCCCTTCTCAGACCACATCTCACGAGCTGGAGCGCCGATTCTCGGCGACGAACTCAGCATTCTACGGGCTTGGAGGCGTCTGGTCGCTGCGAATCCCGCGGAGATGGAAGCGTACTCTTTTCCTTTCACTGGTCCAGAACACGATGTTGTCAGCCATGGAGTGCTTCTGCCTGAGCGACCACAAATATTCTCGCATGGACGCTCACATCGCCAAGTTAGGACGGATTGCTATGGGCGGCTCGGCGACGTGGCAGGGGCCCCAGCATATGCAGAGGCTTTCGAATTCACAAGTTCTTGCATTCTGGCGTGTGGCTCCTTGTTCAGTGGAGCTGCGCACCCGTCGACTGGCCTGGTACCAGGCGTGGGCACTCCGTCCGCAGGTAAACAAGCAGATATGGACTGTTCTCTTCTCGCTCCTCGACTTCGAATCGGAAGATAGGGGCCCCTGCTCAGCCGATTTAGGTCTCTCCCAGTACGCGTCCCCCTGGCTCTACCAGGTGCGATCGGCCCTCCAGGCTGCTGCTGCTGCTATTCATGATCACGAAGAACTGCTGCTTGCCCTGGCTCATTCTCCCTGGAAGCTACTCGACGGCGACGATGAGGATATGATTCGCGAATTCGTCAACCTCGACTTTTCTGAGCATCGCGCATCGGCTTTCTCGCGCCAGATCGCCCCGCCAGGAATCGTGGAGGAGGCCGAGGAGGTGGAGGACGAGGAGGACGGGCCCGTCGAGAAGCCCTTCGTCTGCACGCACATACACGAGGGGGTCGATTGCGGGGCCAGGTTCGAGACGAGGAGAGCACTCACAGAACACTTACGGCATAGGCACCGAGTACTTAATACCGCACACGTACTTACCCCGTCGAACGCGTGCATAGTGTGCAACAGAACGTACGCCACTCAGGTCACTGCCAGCAGGCATTTGCAGAGCGCTCTCCTCAGGGGTTGTTGTGATCCTCGCGGGGCCTCGTCTAACACACCCTTCACCGAGCCAGACAGTTACAGGTGCCCGATCTGCGAGTTCGATGGGGCCAGCTACGAGATGCTTCGCCTACATTTACAGTTGCACCTGCCATTAAGGGTCAAGCATCCCAGACCTCGAGGTGTTAAGCCCCGTGCTCAACCACGTGATGTCGCTGCCGCCCAGGCCCTCTTGGATGGAGCAGACGGCGCGCACAGGTGCCCCAGGGTCGGCGGAGCCCAAGCGCAACGCAGCCACGAAGGACACGACGGCGCATTTGGAGCAGATGTCCCAGGGCATGGCGAGGCTCGTGGTCGGACTGGAGAGGCGCTTGGCGATGCTGGAGGCGAACACCTATCGGAATCATTTCGTGGACGAAGGAGCGGATTTGGGCCAGGCTTGCATCGTGAGCAAAAAAAATACGACGCCACGAGCAAGGAGCTCAAGGCAAAGCAGGACAGCGGCGAGGCCATCGACTGGAAGGCAAGAGGTGCACCACGCGTCGCGCTGCCCGTACTCGCACAAGGAGGAAGTCATCCCAACGAGCAGGGCTCGGAGTTCTGGACGTCGGTTGTGCACACGCAGACGCCACAGCAGCACGGCCTCCTGTTGCTCAATTGCAGGTACAAGAAGGCACGTACATCCAAGGATGGAGTGGACTCTCAGATGGAGTGCAAGGGAGTACTGACGCTCAACTTGAATGTTCAGGACCGTCAGGAG